TTTTTTGAACCTTAAACCGCATAAACACATTTCATTACACCAAATACACAAAATAATGTTCTTTTTAGCAGCATCATATGACCCCTTTAAAAAATGTCTGGCTCTTCCAAGCTTTATAAAGGCAGTGAATGGGGGTCGAGATTTTGGAGCTCCAAAAAGTGCATCCATCCAACATAAAAAGTGCTCCACACGACTCCGGGGAGTTAATAAAGGCCTCTCTAGTGAACCCAAGTATATCAGTTAGCAGAAGTTAGCGATTATGGTTTATAAAGTTTTAAATATGGATATTTTTCTTATACAAGCACATCGTTTTGCTTCAGAAGGCCTTTATTAACTCCCCGGAGCCGCATTGAGCACTTATGATGGATGGACGCACTTTATTTTGCTTCAAAATCTCGACCACGATTCACTGCCATTATAAAGCTTGGAAGAGCCAGGAAATTGCTTACTGCATGTCTACTGTTGTCTCAATTGTTTTTATCTTTTCTGATTGTAAGGAAATTTAGAATAACTATCTGAGACAAAGCTGATACTTCAACGAATCTTAACTGAGAACTACATAAAGTCTCCTGAGCTTCGAAAAGCACCTCTGTGAAATGTATTTTTTATTTGCCAACGTTCATGTGAGCGTCCTTGTCCCATTGTAATCAAATTTTAAAGCAGACCAACAATGCACTGTCAAACAGGTTGTTATATCAGATTACACAAACCTATCCAGGTACATCACACCTGCTCAGTCCAAACCAGACTCTCACAGTGTGCCTTCACCAGCGAGGATACAAAACACAATGATGCAAGACTGACGTGCAAAAGTGGGTTGTGTGTGTATGCCAACGTTTTTATGACATGCTGCTAATGTAGGTAGCCATAGAAACCCAGCAAACAGTTCCGTTGGAAAGGAAGTGGTTCTAACTTCCTGTAAAAATGTGACACTGTTGTGCAGTTGTGGTCGTGACCTCATACACACACTGCTGAAAAATATCTCACTTTTACAAACGAGTCTGAAATGTCTTCCCTACATGAATTTTTTCAAGTGGTTCAATTGTGATTGTGGTTGTTATCAGGCCTCATTGGGATGCATGAGTGAAGAGTCTCACATCTCATGGATGAGTACAGCTTCTTTGCATTACATTCAAATGAGGTGCGATGCAGACCGAAGAGCTTTCACTCACGCATCTTCCTCTTCCTATAAGCTTTTATGAGTCTCTCCAGTTTCACACACATGCACTTAGATTAAGCAGGAATTGCATTAGAAAATAATGGGCCTAAGGCTGTCCAGCAATGTTCGTCTTAAATTTCTTTTTATCCCATATCTTGCTTTTCTTAATTTAATCGAGTCCATATCAGTAACCACAGTAATTCTGCTTTTGTATCATAGTTCTACAGGGGTCATATCATATTTTTTTCTCTCTGAGGCATACTTATAATGTTAATCAAGATTTTTTGCACCAAAAACACTCATAATTTTAGTATATGTATGCATTTAGTCAAATTAAACAGGCCAATGTTGCTGTTGTACATTGAGGACTCTTATGTAAACTGACTTTTTGCATAAGAAATGACTAGCAGCAGATATGCTGTGATGTCTTATTTAGTGAGCACGTCCTTGTTTCTTAATATGAGCCTACATTATACATTGTGACGCATAGTAAACATGCACAGATACTGAATTTGCAGCATGAACTGTTAAAATCAGACTGAAATGCTTAGGGATCTTGCTAAAAATAAACCCTTTTATTCCCTTTTTTCCTAATGTTGGGATCCAGAAGGATATGCTTAGACAGAAAGAGCAAAACATTTGGCATTATTTCCCACATTTTACTCATTTCCATTAACATTTCTTATTCCGGTATCTTGGAATAATAGTATACTTCCTCATTAAATTATTGAATGAACTCGGGTTTTGACATCTGAAATTTTATTACAAGTCATTTTGGATGATTACTTTTTGGATCTGTTCCAGTTCCATAAAATTTAATGAGATGACCCTTTTAAAACCCCCAAAACAGTTTGATACTCTAAAAAAAGATAGAAAGCCACACAGTCTAGAATCCACATTGATTACGCTGACTCGAACTCTTCGCAAAACTCAACAGTAAAGCCAGGAATCCAATTGAAAACAAAGAGTCTGTGGTGACTGTCCATCTGAAACAAATATCTCATGAGAGCTGAGGGGAACTACAGCAGGAATCAAACAGCCGGAAAAAGAGAGGAAGAGTGGGAAGGGAAAAATAGGGGCGCCACTGCTGTCAGGAGCAGCGAGATTGTGTTACTGACTGATATATGAGAGAAATTCAGACTCAATATTCAGTGAAAAAAACCCACGCACACTGCAGACGTAAACAAAAGCGGCTAGGCCAAACTGCGAGGGGTTTCCTGTTTAAACAACTAAATTAGATATGTTGTGTGTCTATAAATCGAAAGCAAAATGCAGATGGTCTTAGACACAAACACAGACAAAAATCTAAAACGACACATATCACGTATGAGAATTTGAGGTTTAGTTGATCAGTTTCAGTTTCAGACGCAGAACGATATCTAGCTTCGTAACCTGAATGAGTAAGACGTATTTTATTTGCGCATTTCACATCAAGCAGGACTTTGTTGTGGAAAAAACTGTGTTTTAAACAGATTATATTTGCTGATGTGGGACCCTCGGTGTAACCGCATGAACGTGATTCTCTACTACACTGTCAAATGATCAGCCACACTTTCTGAGAGTTTTTCTCACAGGATTTCTGTCTCTCTGTCTTGTTCTTTCACACTTAGGTAGTGGTGCCATTGACGCTTACAAGTCGTTAAAAACTTGACGTGCTATGGCAGCTGTTGGGGTCACAGTCGGTGGGGTTTATGAGTTGATATCCAATCTGAGAGGCAGATATTGACATGTACACATATCTCATATTACTCTAAATAAACAGAGACAGACTTGCTCTCGCACATGAGGTTTAAATCAGATCAAGAGTGTGTTGTAACAGGCCCGATGCATTTACTGGTGGATTTAGGTCATTTAACATATAGGGCAGCTAGGGACAAACTAATTTGATAGAAAATACCTCTGATGTAAGGTAAGCCTGTGAGAAAATAAAGACATACAATCTCTCATAGAAGCCTTCTTTTGAAACACACTCACACATTTGCACATACACACTCTCTACTTCTGCCTGTCAAAGGAACAGTGGACCCAAAAATGAAAATCGGTTGCAAGTATGAATATGCACAAGTGCAAATGACATTCGAGGGAGATAATAAAGTGCTCCATACGACTTTTGCACTATATTACAAATCTCCTGAAGCCACATAATAGTCATCTTTGATTTGGTGAGAGGAACTGAAGTCGTTATTCATTGTTGTAGATCTCAAATATCATTCACCCTTAACGAATCAATGGATTTTGGTGCTACTGACAGCAATTCTGGCTCAATGCTTCTTTACAAGACATTTAAATATGCACAAGTGCAAATGAGATTTGAGTGATGAAGAGTGATAGTTTAATTGAAGATGAACTGAAATTGCATTTACTTCACCATATGCTATGCTTTCAGAAGATGTTCTAGCCATATGTGCCACTTAGGGTAGGCTACTTTTATGACCCTTTTTTGTCACTTTCTGAACTCCCCTGGTCAATATACTGCAAGCTTTCAATATTTGTAAAAGAACAACATGATTCTTCAAAATGTATTATTTTGTGTTCCACAGAGAACTGAAAACCATTCCAGTTCCAGTGAATTATGGCTGAATTTTCATTTTTGGGTGCACCCTCCTTTTAAATGCAAAACTCTCTGTATAACACACTTGAAGTTTGCAGGAGATCTTAAAGTTAAGCAGATATTTACATTACTCATTCAAATATTTTCAATTATTTTACAACTCTTGGAGATATGCCAATCCTTCTGTCTCTGTTTCTCTTCTCTCTTATCATTCTATCTTCATTTGCAGGTGCTGCTAATGAATTGGGCCAACAAGGACGACAGGTGACCATGGGGCCCCACAGGAGAGTAACGTAATGCATGCATGTGGGTGTTCTTTGGCAGATAAGAAACTGAGGAAATCTCTCTCGTGCAGAGAGAGTTATGGGTGATACTGCTCGTGGGGAGGTTGTCTGAGAAAGTTCTCTGCAGACACACACACCGAGGCGGTGTCTTTTATTAGATCTGTGATGAGCCATAATGGCAGAGATCAAGCTTGCCAGCTATAATAATCATACTTCCTGTACAAAAGTATTCAGTAGAGACCGGCTTGCTATTGTATTACACATACACACACACACGCACACACAACGGCATTATGTACAGAAGGATCTCCTCAGAAGCTAACTTCACAATTTACTTTGAGTTGTAGAGACTTGCAGGGGATTTATTGCAAAACATTCACAGTCAGTCACATTACTGCACAAAGAAAAGGAAAAGAAACCACATGGAGCACAAAGACAGAAAAAGTGAGCTGGAGGGGCCGGTATTTAAGTGGCATGGAAAGGAGAGATGAGTGTTTCTCTCCTGAGATGCACAAGCATTCTTACCTTGCAGGTCAGAAAGGAAGAGAAGGGCACTGCTTCCTGTTTGCCCACTGCTCGGGCACAATTTACCTTTAAATGTTTCACCTTTACCTTATAGCGGATGGCAGCTCTGACAAAACGTGCACTCATGCGTACACACACACACACACACACACACACAAAGAGTGAGAGGACTTACTCACGGAACGCCACTGACAGACAGGAAGTGAAGTGAGCTTCTATTGTCAAAAAGGCGAGTGTGCCTAGTCCATTCTGTCTTGTCCTTTCTTACCCCTCTCTCTCTCTCAACACTCTCGCTTTCTCTCACATTTGCACCCTCCTTTCCTGCCTTCTCCTTCAGCAGACAAAGAAAGGGAAGGAATGGTACGAGAAAGCAGAAAGAGAGAGAGAGAGAAATAGAGGGAGAGAGTGGAAGAGGTAGAGAGAGTGGTGTTGAGAGAAGATAGCCCAACCCCCTTCTACCAGCCAGTCTGCTTTCATTTCTTTTTCTTTTTTTTTTGCTTTTCCCTGTACAGCCCCTCCCCCACCTTCCCTCTGCTTCACTCCATCCTCATTCTCTCTCTCTCTCATTCTCTCATTCTCTCTCTCTCTCTCTTCACACCTAAAGAGTACAGTATGTGTTTCCAAGGCAACCAATCATAAACTCTGCTTAATGCACATCAGCTCAATTCTACAGAAGACGTTCTGAGCTCAAAACAATGATCTTACCTGAGAAGAAAAACACATGCAAACATGGACTACGAGACCTCCTGAGGGAGATTATGCGCATATGTGCAATTGAGAAATTTGCATGGCTGCTTATGAAGATTTATCGGTCTGGTTCACATTGTCTGATTTATTTTCTTATTTGTTCAGTGACTTCAGATATGAGGGTTTGCATGTTGTTTAGATGACTTTCCCTCTTCTGCCACACATGCAACCACATGTACCACATGCAAACCTTCCAGAGTTGCTAAGGATTTGTCCACCTGGAAGAAATTACAGTTGACTGACTGGTAACACAAGCTGCTTACTATTATTTAGAAATGTAAAGAAATATGTTCTTATTGTAATGCATGGTAATCTTGGCAATTTTATGTCCTAGAACCTACGCAAGTATGTGAACTCTGAAACGCAATTCAGAATGCCTCACAAATACACTTTAGCATTCCTTGAGGAATTCTCATTATTGCTACAAAACAAGTTAAGCTGTTATGGCTAAAGCCAAGTTCACACTACATGACTTTATACGTCGGCAGATCGCTGTGCTGTTCAGACTACATGACTTGATTGTCTGTCTTGGTGCTCACACTACGTGACTATGTAAATGATCCACAACCGGGGGTTACACACTACACAAGCTGACAACAACTCTGTCACCCAACGACTCTACAAAGCACGTTTTGTCACAAAAACACACGCAAGAATTGGAACGGGAATGAGGCGAAACAACACATGAAACAGGAGTTGTTTATTTGAAAATGGATGTCGGGAAGAAATTAGCGCTGCAAGCTGTTTGCTTGATTAAACATTTTGCTCCATTTATTGTGTCCAAACTTTTCTTTAAGCCATGTTGCTGCTGTTGTTTTTCTTCCGGTGACCTCAACCCATGCCTTGCTCTCTTATTGGCTGTAGCTCGTCACGACACCTGACACCACGTGATGTCGAGTCGACCGACCGGTCCAGCGAGGTGTTGGCGACGCGTCAGCGAGCCTCTTTGATGCGTCGTTGTGTAGTTCACACATAAAGATTGCTGAGCGCCGATCACCCACTGATTTTTCCCCGATCACAGCCTGACCTGTCGGCGAGCTCGTTAACTTGCAAATCGGGCTTAAATCGGGCTTAAAATCCTTTAGTGTGAACTAGGCATAAGCCGTTTTAAGAGAATCTTGCTGAGCAAGATAATTTAAGATTGCTACAGTGTCAAGATAGCTAAATAAAATACAGTTTAATGGCACAGGATTCGAGGGTAAATCTTTTTGTACAGGTATAAAAACATGTTGGGGGGGGGTTAATGCTATTTCATGCATGTTGAGTTATTTACACTGTTAAAGTTCTTACAAGTTTCGGAAAGTTTTTTTCGATCGTTGCTCTTCATGACGTAATGAAGGGTGGAACTCCTTATATGGGCATTTCTCCTGGAAGAACGCGCCTGTGTCGACCTGAGCAAGAGAGCAAGAGCACGCCCATCAGTCTATGCCATCAACGGGCTTCATTTGGCAGCACTGCTGCACGGGACTCGCTCAGGAAGAATGTCTCCAAAGAAGTGTGTTTTTGGTTATAACTTACTTAAGGGAAAGAGAACTTTGTTCAGCTTCCCAAAGGAACACAGCGTTACGTGAACAGTGGATGCAGTTTGTTTTTCAGGGGCAGCAACGGAGTTTCACAAGTGTGTTTGTTGCTGAACGTTTTATAAACAAGGCCCAGTTCGACGCTGGATTTGCACATCATTTGATACTGAAAGATGGAGCGGTCCCAGCTATAAAAGATCCCAGTAATGAGTTGGAATCGCAGACAGTAAGTGAAACTGCATCAAATGTCTGTGTTTTGTTGGCAATCGGCGCTTAAGGGCTCGTCACTCTTTAGCTCCGCCCACGGCGCACCTCCAGAAGCTCAGCTGCTTTCGGAGAGAATCGTAAAGCTGTATCTTTCTTTTATAAATATGATAAAACTAAAGACTTTTGGGAGATACGAAGGATGCAGTACTACTCTATAGGTACTAGGGATGTGCATCTCATGACTCAGGCCGATACGATATGCATCTCGATGCATAGCCAACGATACGATACATTAAAGATACATATGAAGCAGCTACCGATGCGATGCGATACGATTCACCCCTATTATGATGCAGTGCGATCCGATTTCGATTCGATTCAACACAATGCGATTCGATGCAATATGATGCAATGGAGAAAATATGATCACTTTTAATGCCTCGAGGCCTGTTTCATAAAACAAGTTAACCAAATAAGCCAGGCTTATTTCAGTTAGTCTGACTCATTGTCAAATGATTTGGTTCCATAAAGCAAATTTAACATAGGCCTAGATCAAGCTTAGTCACTGTGGCAACTTATGCTGGGAAACTAACCTGGTCTAAAGCAGGCTAACTGTCAGGCTAAGCTAAGCTCCTCTACTGACCAATAGGAACATAATGATATTACCACTGTCTCAGTTTATACTATTACTATTACATACTATTATTTGACTTTTTTCTTTTCTTTTTTTTTTTACAGTTTCTAGCCATGCAGCCTTTCTCTCTGGTTTTATTACAGCTGTACCTTTTATAGTTTGCAGAACAGATAGCAGAACATTACAATCTAAAATTGCTCTTTAAAGCATTAAAATAACTAAATGAAAAGTTAAAATCACTGAATTAAAAATGAAAATAAATAATAAAAGAAAATGACGCAGAATAGATAGCAGAACATTAGAATATTACAATCTAAAATGGCTCTTTAAAGCATTAAAATAACTTAATTAGAATTTAAAATCACTGAATTAAAAATGAAAATAAATAATAAAAGAAAATGACTAAATTTTAACTGCTATAAGAAACACACATTAACTCATTTGAGCTTAGTAATAGTACTGTAGCCTACTAGCTTACATTTGAATTACCTATTACAATAGTCCACTTACAGTTACTGCTATCATAAAAATATTTTTTTTAAATTCTACAAAAGACACATGTAATGTCCAAAAACAAATTTTTTAGCAAGATGCATATTTTACTCAGAATTATTGCACTCCTATTTGATTGCGCTCTGTCTGTTGATATCAGACTGAGGAATTCAGGGGTTTGAGATTAGAAGTATCAGGCATTACTTTTAGACAGAATTTAGAGATCTGCAGTTAGCAGGTGAAGATCAGTTGAAAGAAGTTCCAGATCAGAAGTTTGTTTTCAGGCTGCTGAGATCATACTAGTTACTTGGCAGCCTTACAGTAAACTAGTCCAGGCAGATATGATACATGAAGCAGATACAACACAAGGCAGAACTACTGTACACAAGGAGCTGACGAGCTCCAAAACGATGGTGGTCCAGTAATGACAGTTTCCTCAGAACCACAGATTCCCATATGAGGTTGTGAAGTGCTTGGATTGGCAAAACTTTAGGATGTTTCCAAAACCAAGTTTCCTTCACTCTCAAACCATAATAACCACCACCACTGCGACTCACACAGCTGGACCACCGTGGTCCAAACCAGAACCAAACATAATGTTTCAATTTACTGCTGAGCTGTAAAAGGTGCACAGTATGCATGTGAGTTTAAAATGATGGCTTGTGTTTGTGTTTTAAGAGTGCTATAATTACATATTCAGGGTGTTTTTGCTTAGGTTTAACACTAGACTACGCTCTTCAAGAATTGTAGTAACTTTCTTCTTTTAAAGGTTTCAGTAGACACTTCGTAACTATGCAAGGAAAAACAAATCTACTCGAGCTTCAGCACATACAAACTTGGTCTCCAAAAACACAGCTGACTCAAGTCTCCCAAGCTGTCCTCACAAACGATTAATTCTGCAATTACAGACTTCCTGTTTCTGTGTTTGAACTCTGTTCTGGGTTTCAACTCAGGAAGGTTCATTTCAGTCTACAAGGTTACAAGGCACAACTGATCTCATTTAAATGACATTACGGTTTCATCCATTACAGCTACCAAATGACTCGGGATAAGCTTCTATTTTTAGAAGGATATTTTAGCAGCTCACAGTTGTCTGCTTGTGGTAAAGCTCCGGTGAATGTAGGTCAGTATGTGGAGATAACCACGGCACGTGTGCCATTAAAGCCCATGCAGGCCTGTGCAAACAATAGCCTTCCAATGCTTTTTTCCCCTGGAAACATTTACAGTATACAGTGGATTGTTGAAGTAAACACAGTAATAACAGAGCCATACTTCCTCTATGAGTTGACATGCATAACAAATGATGCTGTTTTCAAAAAACCAGTGCATTTTGAAACAACGTTTGCATGACAGTCTTCTTACAATATGAAAACTAGCATGCCATGGGGATTGTAATCTCATGATGGCATTTATTTCATCACACGGAACCAGAGAGCCAGTGTAAGCGATACCAGTAACTACAGTTGCCGGCGATGATGTGAGGCAATGCATCTGTAATGCTACCACACACACACACACACACACACACACACACACACAAACACACACAAACACTGCTGTCAAAATAATGAGACTGCTTTAGTGCTCATCAGTGTGTAATGCACACATACACAACATTCACCTATATGGAAACACATGCCCATGCTAATTTGCGCATAAAAACCCATGCATGTACCTCTAACTATTATGAGATGTTTAAAAAAAAAAAGAGGTGGTCTTTCCTTTGAAATCTTCGGCTTACCTCTTCTCCTCTTCCTCTCCCCTCTTTCTCCTGTTTTTCCTCCTCCTTTTTCCTTCAAAGCA